CCACAAAGCTAGGGCGAAATTTTAGAATGACAGTTTTGAGATATAGATTAACAAAAAGAACCGATTGATTTTTGAAGATTTGAAATTCTTTCAATTACTTCCTTTAGCTGATATGGCATAGATTATTTTTGAAGGGTAATTCTAAATAATCTCCCAAAACTGGATCAACAATAAATTTTAATTCTATTTATGAGTTCTGTTCCTATAGAACATAATGAAGAAGTTCTTCTCTATTGGTTGATAAGTGTGTTGCCTGAATTTTCATAAATATGTTTATAGCACAAAATTCATCAGTGATCTGATTATGTTGTTACATTCATGCCAAGATATGTACCATTGGGTTGTTTCCTGACAAAGGCATCATTTTCATTCCTGAATTTTTTGGTTGGTCGTTAAAAAATTTCAAATCTGCTCATAGAATTATGGTTTGCAACAAATATAGCACAAATATTGCTTGAATATACTTAAGTAATTTATAGGCTTATGCTTTACAAGGTTTGTATTAGCTTTTAAAGAATTTCTTATTCAAGAAATGAGAAATTGCTAGCTGGACCAAGATCAAATTCATTATGGTAAACCATATTATTTGTATCTGACTGTATCACCCAACCATATTGCAGATTAATTTTTCTTATTTTGTTAATGCACCTTAAAGCAATGTTTTCAGTTTTATCCACTATTGGTGCTATTCCAAAATTAGTACTTTTTTGTAATTATATATAATCCACAATTTCCAATTACTGCACTGTTGCATGTTTCCAAATACTATTTTCAGCTTATTCTCTCAATCTTATTTTGACCAACCAAGACATATAATGAATTTTGTCTTTGACCAACCAAGACCCTTATTCATTATATGCCTCTCTAAATAGGTGTTTTGTTTAATTGGAATATACACTGTGGATCCTATGTGAAATTTTCCAAAAGAACTTGCAAAATGTCATATTTAGATCTCAATTTTCTCTGGTTAGTAGTTGTCTCTCACATTAGTAGGTATGAAGTTGTGGCCTCGAAGTTTTCTCATCAAAGATATGTCTTTTTGTACAATTTGGCATAACCTAAATGTGTGCTCAAATGGCCAATCTATTGTGTTATGTAAATCAGGAAAACATCTTGACCCTATTAGGAAATGATCTGAATTATTCTTTATATTTTGTATCCATCAGTTTTTCATTGTCCACATATTTTTATTTTTGTTCTGTTTTTCACTTGATCTATTTCTATTTTTTTATTATTTACTTGCAGGTAACATTTACAACCTCTCAATTATCAAGGATGCATTTGAATTCCAAATAAAGGAATTCATACTTCTATGCCCGAGAATGGTTGAAGAAAAGTTCAACTAGGGCTTTTATTTGGAATTTTAACAATGTTTCTGGGCTTTTTCAGGCACTGCTTGCTTTTTATGTCACTAATGAATTGGGCATGAGCGATTCATCAAAGGCTTTGGTAAGGATTAGAAACTTTCTGGAAATTACTCATTAACTACAACCAAATCTGTGTAGAAAATATATACATGTACATATTTACTTGTGGTTGAGCTAGAAGCCTACTAAAACTAGGGATATCTAGAAGCCACCTCTGCTAAGCTAATTGTCATTAAATAATTCCAGTCACAAATATTGTGTATATTCTCTAAAAGGTGAATAATTGAGGTTTGGGGTTTGTGAGCTCTACAATTTGTTCTCTCAGACTGCATGGAAGCAAAATTTGAGCTTGGAGTTATTGTTGTTCAAAATTTCCCTTGGAAACTTGTTTGAGAGTATGTTCATAGAACTCTAAGCCGGAAAGCTGACTTATTTCCTTCATGCATTTTTAATTAAAAAAATTTACGGTTTAGGTGGAATCTTTAAGGTGATTGCTTGAGTATAATCTCATTTAACTTTCCTTTCCAGGTGCCTGCTATTATCTATATTTGCAGCCTTCTGGTGTCTGTCATTCTGCAGGTTTTACTTGGTTATTCTATAGTGATACCCTGTACAAGTGTAGCATTTCTTGTTTCCAAATAGTTACTCCTTGTCTTTAATGCAGGAGATCAGATGGTCTGGGTGGCGGCTTAAGTTCTTCTTTACTGCTGGAGCCATCTTGTGGGTGTTCTCCGGTGCAGGAATATTTGTTCTTCCACCTAGCAAGCACAACTATATATACGTACTCTCAATAATTGTTGGTGCTGCTAATGCGTTGATGACGGTATGATAATTAAATCGCATAGCTTTGGAATCCCAGATTTCCCTGTCATGAACTGAATGCAATTTTCATCATGTTGAACTTATGTCCAGTTAAACTTGATCAATTTATAAAACAAATCTTTCACAATTGTTCTATGACCTACATCTTGTCATGTTCTATTAGAATATCACCCCTATTATGCTATAACCTTTCGTGATGTTCTGTTGCTTTTCTCACATATATTAGAAAGTGACACTCATTCTGTTGCTATCTCCTCCTGCATCCACGGGCACAGTTGCCATTAACCTTTGTTACATTTACAAAGATGTGAGTAGCAACCTATGCTCAAGTACATTTACATTGTATACTCAGGGTGAGCAGCTATACTTTTTAATTACTCAGAATTAGTTCTAATGCATTTAATAAAACATTGCACTCTGCCTGACCACATGAATTTAAGTGGAATAATGTAGATATGTTGGAATTAGCATATTGATGTTTGTTAGACCTCAGAGAGTCCACATATTGGTCTTATTATTGAGGATGATGAACTCCCTTGGTTCTCTGTACAATTTTTTTGCTGGAGCAGTTTACTCCTTGATGATAAAATATTTGTCAATCAGCTATTAATTCTTATGTATCTCTATATATTCAACATATTTTTAAGTTTTCATGGTTCTAGAGCAGCTACCTGTATTTTTCTGAACTTCTTGAACATTGTTGAGATTCAAATGAATTATCTAACAACTGCCTAATCTTAACCATGAACACATCAGGTGACTGTCTAATTTAAATGAATTATTTGTTATTTTGTATTTTTTTTTCTGAGGCAGGTGACTGGAATTAGCATGGAAAGTACCCTGGTTGGTGAAGATCTAAACGGATGTGCTTTCGTTTATGGATCACTAAGTTTTCTAGATAAATTGTCATGCGGCCTTGCTTTATATGCTCTCGAGTCATATGAAGGTAAAACATCAGTAGGTTACATACGCCTTTATGTTAAAATAATGGGTTCATATACCATCATCTATCTTGTCAAAAGATGCCCTAGGTAGAGCTAGAAGTTTAAAGTTACATATGTTTGTTATATGCAAGTAATCATCAGATAATTTATTTTACTTGTTTGCTGCTACACATAATTTTGTTCTGAACTGTGACCATCGTCATGCTTCATTTGGCTTTTATTCCAAATATAAATGCTATCCTAATCAAACTTAACTAGTTTACCCAAACTAATCTAATTCATGATTACTCTTTGTGCTAGTTTGTAATCTTGGATAATTTTGTTTTATCATTTAACAAGGTTTTCTTAAAATATTTTGCTATACTCTTTATCTTATGTTTTTGTTTTCACTTGTGATCCTCCCCCGTACCTTAGCAGAATCAACATCGCCCATATAATTATTGCGGAGTGAAAATAGAGAGAAGCATAGATCCAAGAATCAACTTGAATATTGCCCTGCTTAAGTTGGCCTTAGAAAGACTTGCCATTGGGATTAACTCTGATGAATTACTATAGCTCTTTGATATCATAAGCTTATAAATTTTAGATTCATTGTATCGTGCTTAATCTATCAGCAGCTTTTACAACTGCAATCAGCTTGTCAGTAAGATCGCCACCTGACAATAATATTCTCTCTTCAGGTTCATCCGATGTCAGTGTCAATTACTCGATTACAAGATATGGTATCGGGGCAGTTCCTGCTGCTTGTGCTCTTCTTTCTGCTGTCGTCACGTATACGATGAAACTTACGGACTCCTCTTCCATTCCTTTGGTTGAACCTTTGATTGCATAATGCTGGCGAAACCAGAAGTACGGGTGCTGCCTAAATGTTCTCCACAGATTGATACTTCGATTGCTGATAAGGAATAAGAAAAGGAAACCTTATATTTTGTTCAATTATAATAGAGAGTTGAAAGGTTGGAGAAGAGAGATTCTTTTAGGACAGCATTCTACTCCGCGTAGAATCTTCCTAATAAACATGATAGATGCATGGGGTGGCCGCTTCTAGCAGGAATAGATGCCTGCAGATGATTGTAACTTAAAAACGTATTTCATTTGTTACTGCACATCGATCATCTATACAGTAAATATTATTTCCAACTTCCGGTAACGATGGGAAGTTGTAGCCCTTCTTTTATCAATGAATTTAACCACAGGGATCGACGGCTTTCTTCTATTCCCTTTTTTCACTATTGTGGTGGTGTGGATGGCGATATTATCGGGGCGATCTGAACATTGATGACCGAGGTAGGGGCAGTGACGATTTGATGGTGGTGGTGGATCTTGAGGATGTCCTTTAAGACGAGTAGTGTGGAATCTTAGAGGTGGTGCTTGAGGGACTTATGCGACTTCTTGCGAAGTGAGGAAGTTGTAGTAGTCCTCCCCCTACAAGAAGTCGTATAAGTCCCTTAATTCTACCTCTAAGACTCCACCCCATCTATCGTAGGGACATCCCCGAGATCTACCACCACTCCGGTGTTGATTGCTGATATTTAAATCTATATCGATCAGGTCGATCACCACGTTGTTCTCGCTAATCAACAGCTCCTTGCAACCACCGATGATGTCATCGTCCACCACGATCATAGTAGTCAATTAAGAAGTTTTAATTAGAACATAACAAAAAAACATAATTTAGATATTAAAATTACCTTCTTATTAAGAAGGTAATTAAGAAGTCAATTAAGAAAATGATGTCATTCCTACGTATCCTATCACGACTGTCAGCTTCATGTTCTCTTCGTCTAGGGGTCCAAAAACTAAATAATTTTTGGTATAGATTAAGAATATTATTCTACCAGAGGACTAATTTTTCTAATGTTCGACATGAAGGAGACCGTAGCATTTTTAGTAAGCTCATGGTACAGAAACTCAACTGGTTCAGAAAGCAAAAATTTTCCATGTATGACGTCCATTAGAAACAGAATGGAATGAACATATCAAGAAATTGTGTTACATCCTCTCCAAAGCAGCAGGACTGATCGGAATCACACCATCTGCTGAAACAACAGCATCAACTGGAACATCTGTCACAGTCGTCGGAATCAAGTCATCATCCACAATTTGCACTGAGTAGGCAAGCGCAACTGAAAGGAGCCAAATTTAGATAAGAAAAGACAGATTATAGGCTTTAATATTTGAGATCCCATAACATTTAATAACTACAAAGAACATTTTCAGTGGGTTATGTTACAGTTCCATGTAATTACACCTCTGATCAATGCCTGTGACAGATGTCATTTAAGTGTTAGCATTTTACCAGGCCTTGTGGGATCTTGTTGGGCATTAATCACTATTAGCACAAGAGGATGCCAATACAACACTTTTTTTTGGATATAATGCAATATAAAATCATAGTTGTTGAAAATGATGTACCTCGGAGTGGCTGTTTCCACTTTTGCTGATTGGCAAGCTCTTCATATTTCTGCAGGAAAACATCATAGTATCTAGCGTGCGCAGCACAGCACTCAGAAGTCAGAATGTGGTCAACAGTATATAAAAAAGATAATGTGCAGTTTATATGATATAATTTGGTTGACTTTGTCGTAAATTGTGCACCATGAAAAGAGATATATGGCAGGATTGAATATTAAGTTCACAGTAGGTAACGAGGGGAGGAAGAATATGATTCAAGTAAATATTATATTGCAATAGGATCATGAACCTTAACTTTAGATCTTACGGCAAAAATATTAAGTTACTAGAAATGACCACAAAATATCAGGTTGCCAAGTGCAATATCATTGAAGTAAAATAACAAATAAAATTTCGATGCTAAGGTATGATCCTTCTAGTAAGCTAGAATGATGCATACTCTTTAGCATGTCTAAACATGTCCACCACCATTAATAAGAAAACTATCCTATTAATTTTGTTGAGTCTAACCCACTGACCCAAAGTACTTTGGCTAAAGTTAGTAATACACCTATCAAACTCTTATAAGTAAATCCAGTATTTGTTGATTTCCAAGGTGGGACTAGATCATGTATTACGATCACCCTCACTTAAAAGTTTGACATCCTTGTCAACGTAATAGCATAACTCAACCATAGCATAGTACACACGAGGCCTAACACACTGGTGGCTCCATATCATGATGTATCCTATGACCCCATCAACAGATAACTCTTTCATACTTAAGACTCTCATCATACCTTAATTCTATGTTAGTGATTTAGAAAGCGCTGGGCACCAAAAGGTGTCAAGTTTCCAAAATACTCGAGGCACTAGATGCTCATCCGAGCGAAGCGAGACACTCTAAAATATTAAAATATAAATAATATAATTAAAATAGTATTTAATCTTGAAACCCTAATAATAGTTCTAAATAAATAGAGATTAGGAGTGCTAAAATCTAAATAAGTGCTATTATATGATAACAGTAGTTAACAATCTATTGTTAACAATATTTAATCTACTGTTAATAGTAGTTAAGAGGAGAGAAAAGAGTCAACAATGGCGAGTAAGTGGAGAAAGAGAGGACAACAATGACGAAGGAACTTACAGACAACGATGGCGAAGACGAAGGAAACTTCGGACGATAGGAACGACGATGGAGGAAGCTACGAATAGTAGCAACAGCGACGAAGAAAGCTTCGGACAACGGCAGTGGCGACGACAACGAAAGCTGCGGATAATGACGTCATGGGCCGAGGAAGCTTAGATGTGTCCATTAGTGGCAAAGGAAGCAACACACATAAGCAATAGCGACGGAGGAAGCAGCGGAAGCTGCGGATGGCAGTAGTAGCGATGAAGAAAGCTTCGAACGGCAATAGCGGTAGCGATGAAAGCTGTGGACGATGATGTCACGGGCGGAGGAAGCTTAGATATGTCTGTCGGTGGCGAAGGAAGCTGCACACGAAAGCGACGACGACGGAGGAAGTGGAGGAAGTTGTGAACAACAACGGAGAAAGCTTCGGACAACGACAACAATGGCGGTGGAAGCTGCGGGCGACAACGTAATGGGCGGAGGAAGCTTCAGATGTGTCCATCGGTGGCGAAAGAAGCTTCGGTCCTCCCACGACAATGGAAGGAGCTGCACACGAAAGCTGTGGCAGCAGAGGAAGCATCGGTCCTATGCGTCGACGGCGGAGGCAACAACTGTGCTAGGGTTTATGGCTCGGGGTCGTGGGGGAGTGGGGGTTAGTTTAGTAACATATAGCTTAGTTGGTTCAATCGAACCAACTAGGCTATTGTTCAATCGAACCAGACTTGATAGTCTGGTTTAGTTGCTTTGCTTCAACCAGGCGCTCGCCCGAGGCGCTTGGGTTCAAGCGAGCGCCTAGGCGGCGCTTCACTAAAGCATGTCGCCTGGTCAATCTTTGAGGCGCTCAAGCCTCACCTCACCTCACCCAAGCACTTAGGCAAGCGCTCGAGCACCTATTTAAACTATTGTTCTAGGTATTAGTCAACTACCAACGCCATAATTTTATCTGATGAAATAACTAATACATTAAGAGTTTGAACCACTAGCCAAAAAATGTTTAATCTCAAGTTACAATAGTACACCATACTCTTATAGATTAATCTAAGTATTTGCTTACTTCTGATGTGGGACTAAAACGGGGTGTTATACCATGTCCTAACCAATCTCTCTAACCGCAATATTCTTAACCACAATTCAAGAAGAAGTATTTGATTGCATCTACACTTGATTCAAAAATATGATATTTCTCAACATGTTGTGCATGCAAAAAAATATTGTGAATCATCACAAGGTAGAACTTAATGCAAAGCACATGAAGTCAAGTTCTATGTAACAAGTTGATTAAATTGAATTGAAAAGGTACATTGTAATAAAGATATGGAACATTTGAACCCTACCCTCCACCACGACCTAGCCGTCTTCCATGTCTATCAAATGCAAGTCCTGCAAGTCATAATAAAGGATAGGAAAACTCAATTTTTAATGTTTTTTTTAAAGTTATAGAACATAAATCAAATAGATTTACCAGGTAAAAGGAAGAGGTCAACTGGTTGAGTTGCCAGCATAACTGCAATGGGAAATAATATACATGTCAGATACCGGTTCAAACGAAATAAGGAACCCTGACTATAACCTTCAATTTCTGATGAACTATGTATTACAATCTTCTACGGTGCAGAAGAGTCTACAACGTACAAACATAATAGATTACAAGCTAAACTTAGAGATAGGTAGATCATAGGTCAAATAAGAATACAGGTTACTTAGATTCAATTGATAGAGCATTCAAGATGGCATTAAACATTAGCTAGAAGCAATTCAAAAACTAATGAAACCAATAAAGTTAAGTGTTTGAGCACAAATTTCCCTTGTTTATCATCTAATTGAAGTGTAGGAATGTCCTCTTAGAAAGTTTACTCATCAATCCAGTCAAACAGAATAAGGATTTCTGCATTTTTTTGAAGCTATTAAACAAGGACTCCAAAGGAAAGGGGCATAGAGAAAATTGGAAAACAGGTAATTGACTGTCATGACATCCCACCAGATAAGCACATAGAGAGGAACCACCGAGGTAAAACAAAAAGGACCTAAACTTAAGGATATGGAGTGTTACTTGGCATGCTAACCTATATACAGATATGATACACTTCCCATGTTATTCACATTGATACATCAATTCTTTAATAGACTTAAAATAGAACACAAACATCTAGCTTATGATAATATAATGTGCAGAAGTTAAATTGCAATTTACAATTCAATAATTCATGATGCACAGATAGCAAGATAACCATGAAATGAGAGGAAGAAAAGCCTTTATTATTAGAAAGTTTACCATCTTCACGTTCATTCTGATCAGCATCAACAGGAGAAGGTTCCAGTATATCCATTGAATTTGCTACTAGATCTTCAATATTTGAGATTCTGAGCATCCTCATATGGCTGTTCTTATCTTCAACCCTTGGAACATATAGCATTTTCTTTACCTGCATGCCATGTTCTTGACTTGAAAATGAACAGTAAGCATACGTGTAGGATGAAACCATGAGTTAACAGATAGTCATCAAATCATGATGCCTATAAAATTTATAGGAGATTCACTGAACAGTTTGCGACAGTATTTTGTCATCTTCAACACGATCATGTTTTTGTTTTTATATGACTCTTTCGTCATATGAAATAAAATTTTGTCACAATTTGATCTCCCAAGATATGCATCAATGCTTATAACCAAATTCAATATCACCTTAGTAAAACATGTAAAACTAGCAGTAAAACATTCCATGATACTCTCAGCATCATGACAAACAGGCCATGGTTCAAGAAAAAGTGTGATTCAACTGTAACAGTCATCTAGCTTCCAATACTCTTTTCACTTGTCAAGACTAATGTAATCATGGTGGAATCATAGTGTTGCATAAAGCAGTAGAAACCTTTGCTCAGAAAAACACCTAAATACATCAGAAGTTCATTCTAGACATTCTACATAATTATCTTCTGGAAATATAACAATCATATCTAAAAAAATCACTTACAAAGCAATTTGTTAGAAACCTGCTTTCTAAACCACAGAAATGCACACATAATTTCTATATATGTGTTTGTATATGTGCATGAAAACATCATTTTTGTGTGTAACAACCTTAGTTGCGAGAGTTGAGCCTAGGTACTTACTGGATCATGGTTGACCGAGTGAACATCAGTGCATAAGATTTATAAGTAGTTGCCATCCCTAGTATTACAAATGCATCTTAAGAAAGAGGGAGAAAAAAAAGAGGGGAAGTGGTGACGGGCAAGATGGAAAGGTGTGGAGTCAAAGGAGAATATGAGAAGTCCACATGTACCTGGACTCCACTGTTAGGGATGACGGGAGATACCAAATTATTCAAGACTTAGAATCCCATGTATATCCCTTTCAGTCACTCTTATAGTCTCCTTGCAATAATCACATATCAACCAATCCATCGACTAGAATAACAGAGGAAAAAGGAAAAGAGAAGTGAAGAGAAGAAAAAGAGGAGGAGAAGATATGAAAATAAGATATAAAGAAATAAAACAATATATACTTAAAATGGTGTTTAGAATAGTTATGTTTCCTTATATACTATATAGAAATATAAGTTATTAGTATATGTCAAAAGCACTAAGCACTATAAGGCACCAAAATAATTTTTTCCCAAGGTGCTAGGTGCTCGTATGAACAAATGAAATTGCTTACCCTACAAAAATTATAGAAATATATTTAAGGACAAAATTAATGATTAAACAATAACTTCAGTTGAAACATAAGTTCTATATCACTACATATACAAAACGATCACCATTAATTAGATGTCTAGCCATTATTTAATTAGTTGATATATAAATAACAAAACAATAAAAAGTCAAACATCAATCAATCTAAGAGCGCTAATGATCATCAAATTCGACCACATCATCGTTAACATCATTAGTGTTCACATCATCACATGCATCTCTCGGACCCTTTTTTTATTTTGTCATAACAAATTTTCTCCCCTAAGGCATTTAGTATCCTTAAACTTGATGCTTTTGCACTTGTCTTCAGTCATGCTTACTGCATAATATTGATTCTTCCTAGGTACTTCCTACCTAAATATTATATCTATATCATGCCACTTACTTACACCTGCATTGGCACTCGTTGGCACTTCTGGTAACATAGGTTTTAGTTTGCAATATAATCACAGAGATAAGGACTGATGTAGAGCATTTAAATATGCACCACATAATTAGTACAAGAGACAACATAAGATCATGATATGAAGCATCTTAATGTGATCACCTTGTTATAAAGAATTCACAGAACTAATGTAATAGACATGATCAGGTGTAGCAAAAATGTCAGGGTTTATTCATCTGGTTCAAAGCCATTCAATTATCATCAAATAAATAATTATCACAAGAAAAGAAACCAAAAAACTAAAATGAGTTATTAAAATTAATACATAGGAAAAAGTGATAGAGAAAAATACCAGCATCAGAGTTCTTTAAAACTTCTGCCACAATTTTTGATGTATCAACTTCACGTAGTGCCTCACAACTTATATAAGCACATAATCCTTTACTAGACTTGAACCAAGGTGAATTTAGTACAAGATTTTGAATTGCCACATCTGAGACAAAGTAAAACTGCTGTGATATCCAAAGAAATAAACAGGAGGTAAATTCTGACAAGGAAAAATGTGAAAGGAGAACTGCAACTCAGAATCTCAAATTGAGCAAGTAATGTCTTATGCAACTTCTAGAGAAGTAGCTGAAAAAAGATTAGGAACCACCAAACAAGTTTCCACAATGGATAGATGGACAGGACACTAGCAGAAACTAATCAATTACCAGAACAATAGATGAAGTCTGTGGAGAAGAGAGAAACCTAGCACATGTTTTTTTTTGTCAAAATTAAGAAGCTTTTAGGATCCTTAAGTAAGCAAGGAGATGTCTTATATAAGTTGTCTTATTCAGCAGCAATTCAAGAACAGTACTTATAACAATATCGAAATTCTTCGATTCCTAATTGGTTTTCCGGAAACCTGGCACTAGATGCTAGTAACAAGTATTTGGTTTGGTAAAACTTCTTTTGCTATTTGTTCACCGTGAAATAAAAAGCTCACTTAAGTAACCTGTAAATCAAAAACTTCGAACGACCATCTTAGAATCTAAAGGTTTGGTGCTAAGTAGGATTAACCTTAAGTTTACAACACAACAAATGTGTACTTATTCAAGCAGATGCAATTTCAATCCCACCGGCTACGACAACGAACTTAAAACTAATGATTACACGTTTCAGATATAAGAAAACAGTCGAAAATTTGGAAACAAAAAAACACACACAATAAGACGCTTAGATAAAAATACAAACACATGGCGGTCGTGATGCGAACCATCATAATGACGACAACCAACCAAGAATCACCAGATTGAACCTCGAGGGACGAAGATCCAAAACAGAATCTAAAGAATATTTCAAGACCCCAAGGCCGGGACGAAGTACTATTGAGACGTCTCCTCGTGATGGCAAGAAAAGAGATGACCCAATTTCGAACCTAATGAATTGTAAACGAGGAAGAGGAAGAGAAAAAAAGGTACCTTCTTGTACTCGCTGAGCGGGAGAGAAGATCTTGAGCGCTCTCCGGATCTGGGACCGGAGGGCGCGCTTCTTCTGCAACACGGCGGTGGCCTCGGCCATGGCGACGGCTGCGGGGGGACCGGAGGGGCCGGCGACGAAGCGGAGTGGAACGGCGGAGGAGGGGAGAAAGGCCGGGTGTGGGTGGTGGGTCGTCAAGAAAGAGGCCACCTTCTTTAATAGTACGCCGCCGCGATCTGCTCTCATGAGTCGCAAGCGAGGCGCGTCGATGATGCGTATCATGTGGTCCGGCAAATGCCCGAGAGAACCGACATATAAACCGGACCGCAACGGCCCGAAACGGCCCAATACGGCCCAACTTTAACATCTCTTAATGCTTTTGTTATTATTATGGCCCAATACGACATATAAGCAAGATGATGATTATTATTATCATTATAGTAATAATGATTTTTCCTTTTGTTATTCCTCTCTCAGTACACAATCTTCATGCTACTAATTTGAATTCATTTTGTTCAGGCTATCTTACAAGACATAAAGATATAATGTTTCTTATGACGAATAGATTGTTTATTCTCTCCAGTAGAATTATATGATTGACTTTGACTTTTAGTTGAAAATCGATAAACTTAATGCGTATCTATTAGAATTGTTTCAAGCTAATTATCTTCTTATAATTAATTGTCTTTAGTATTTCGATCTCTATACTTTCAAAAGTTACAGTACGATTCTTGTACTTTGAAAATGAAACTTTTATTTTATAATTTTATAAAATTAAAAATTAAGAGAGAGATGAGAGTTTTATTTGAGTAATAGGATTAAATATCTTAGTGTATGGATTTCAATATAACTTTTAAAAACATAGGAATTAAAATACTAAAAGTAATTAATTATATGAGATAATCTGTAATTAGCCTCGATTAGGTGATCATATCTTACTTAGCCATTGAGAAGTAGGGATGGTATATGACCAAACTATATCTCACTGCTCTTCCTTTAGTCTATTTCTAGTCTATATCTTAGTGCTCTTCCTGTAGTCTGGATGGTATATGACCAAACTATGCTGCAGTGGACCTTCTTCTTCATCAACAAGTTGAAGATTTCATGGCAATTCTGATGGCTGCTCCTCCATAGGAGAAGCCTGAATCAACTTGCATTCCCCTCTCGGATCCTTGGTCTGTGGCTTTGTAGCAGTCTGCATCTGTTGAAGCATATGGATGTGTAGGAAATTTCTCTGTTGTATCACAGGCATGATTTATTTGATGAGTTGCTACAAACTGCTTCTCGGACACAGATTTCAATTTGAACCTTTCTTTGTTGTTCTATCAATAAATCAAGAAAAAGAAGAAACATAAATTAGTCTATTTGATCTTAGCAGTAACAATCTGCCAATCTGCTCGGTTGCATATAAATCGATGTTACACGTGAACCACGTCGTTGACTTCCTTTCCATGATTCCACAGCTGCATTCTTCCGTCTGGCACATAAAGCCGCCAAAGGATGAAAATGATTGGAGAAGTCTGAGATGGCAGCTGTAAACAAGCGAGCCATCGTTGACCGAGGGACACACACTCCTGGTTTTGATCTGCAGACGACAAACACACTGCCAAAGGTAATCCATGTTGACCTGGTTTCCACGTTGACCTTCCTCGAAAGTGCTGCACTGTCCTTCTTCTGACGTATAAAAGCACTAAATCCAAAAAAAGTGAATGCTGAAACATGGAAATGATTCGAAGAAGTCGTAGTCACAGCGGTGAAGAAGCAAAGCATCTCTGGCAATGGAAAAGCATGCATGAACCCAACAGTTGGTCAAAGAGAGTGCAGAGGTGGAGAGGAAGATGAGTCACTCGAGGCTATAAGACACACCCAAGGGGTGAAGGAAGGGGCAAGCACGACAAGGAGTTGGGTTTCCAAGTCTAGGAGAGATGACACCGGCTTCATGAGATGGGTCCAGGTTGGTGTGGATGAAGCTGGTGCCATCTCTTCTAGACAGGGGATCTCTAACTTGACATCCCTGATTCAGTTCCACTGGGGAGTTCTTCCTCTTCTCCTTTCAAGGTGTTTGATCTCTGAGTAATGTATCTGATCCTGTAGTTTATGTGTGTGCGAGGGAGAGAGAGAGAGAGAAAGATCTGCTCAAGAAGTGTGCTAAGATTCAGTATGCATGGTGGGACTCCTCTTCCTCTTCCTTCAACCTCAACAGGTTATAGGATTCCACCATGGAGCTCAAATTTCTGAATGTCCTGTGGTTTTTCTAACATGAGATTTCACTATATTTTGATTGCTTTTAATGGTTGATTTAAGTGCTGTGATCATTGACTAATCATTTCAATGTTATCTTAGGATAATGATTAGACATTTCCAAAGTCTTTTTCCAATCACTTACTCTTCCTACTTCTTATTGATTCTTTTAGTTTCTCTTAATCAGATGTGATGGAGAACTCTGTTTCCTGCCTTGGTGAGGAAAAGGAACCCTCACTCCTTTTCTAAGAGTATGTATAATCTTTTGATACTATATATACATGAGTATGTATTTATGTGTGCAGAGAAAAAGTATCATGTGTTCAGAAGAGCACAATAGATAATTGTTGGAGGTATGCTCTGGTAAGTATAAAGCTGTAGAGAGTAAAAGATCTGATGCATCTTCACTTCAACAACTGAGACACCTCTACTGAAGGCATTCTTCACTCAAAAGCCAAATTGATCATTATGACATGTTAAGGTCAGATGCAATATGTTCTATGTAGTGTGGTCTGACTGGGGTGAGAATTACTGGAACAGATTCTATGAAATTTCATGCACTGTAAAGCTTTGCAACTTTTTCTTGTAGTGGGTATCAACAATTTTCTCCAAACAGAAGGATACCCTAAAAGACAGCATCACTGGAAATAATCTAACATACTAAATGCAAACACAATTTGCTTTTCATCAGATTGGCCTCATTTGAAAGGAATTGGATCAAGAGACTGAAAACACCATTGCAAGTTCAGAGAAGATTGTTTGTTTGCATTATTTGCCCCTGCAATTTGTTCCAGCAGGAAACATATCAAACAGTATGTTCAGAAAAACAGATTGTGTATTATTACAGGTTCAGAGATATCAAACACACAAGGGAAGAGAGAGTTTTCTTTCTTTAAGAATTGCAGGAAAAGAATAATCTACAATATGGATTATCGATGAGATTAAAAGAGTTCAACTTTTAGTCCTTTTTTTATGGTGAACTCTTTGGTTGAAAGATTGTCTTGGAAATCTTTTTCAGGTTTTATGTGATCTCTTAGAATCTGAAAGATGGGCTCTCAAAATTTAAAGGAATCATTTCTTACAATCAGCTTTTAGTTTTTATTGTAGATAAATCATCACAACTTAGATTATGAAAAATGCAGGCTCCAAAGTTCCCATCTTGAAAATAATTGAAATTGATCCTTGAGAATAAGAGATTGAGTGAACCTAACATTTCTTCGCCAAGAAAATCTAGAATTCTCATGAGAAAATTTGAGGAATATAGTAATGCATTTTGCATCATGTTGTCTGTATAACTAAGGCCACAACACAATCAACAATCTTCAATGACCTATCTGATGGTTGGTATTGCATATGGTCTGCAGGCATAATAATTCTCATGGTATAAGGACAAACAACATCCATTAAAGACCTAGATTGTTGTGTGAAAATACGTATTATCTTACGAAAATTAGATTTCTCTCCGCATTATGTAAAAACTATTGCTGCCACAAAAATTTCAAGTTATGCACTCTACAACAGATAAAGTTCATAAGAAGTCTCTCTATGAGTTGAAGTTGTCTCCTTACAGTGGCACAATCAGTTTGATACTTTTATGGTCAAGTATGCATTCTGTACTGTATGAGTTTGGAGATGGAATTGTTGTACAGACTTTGTATGTTGATAATATGCTCACTGGTTGTATGACATGTGTGAGACTCATCAGCTAAAACCCCTTATTTGATCTCATCAAAGATGTGTTACAATCTATTCATCTTTTTGGTACAACATCAGCAATAAGAGCTTGCTCTGCAATATCTGACCCAAATTTCTTCTCAACTTAATATATTTACCTTTGCAAGAGGCATTATGATCAGCTATCAAATATAGACATGAGGAATGAATATGAATACATCTGATTCATGGTAGAAATGTTGATGCAAAGAGTGTTATTAAAGCATAGAGAGGCTTGGCGACAAGGAGAGCATCATCTGGCACTGTCCCTGACAGTGCTTGGTCTCTGCTGCTTTCAAGCTGTCCTTCAATTCGTTCAACTCAAGATACTGCAAGAAAAGAAGCAAGGAAAAGGGAAAGGGAAAAGGAAGTCATGACAATGGCTCTTTACTTCTTTCTCTTTTTCTATCTTTGGATTACTCTATTGTTCATAAGCTGATTGCTACCAAAGTACATATATTCCCATGCATCCTTGGTGAACACAAAACAGCAATGCCAAAGTGAGTGATAGAGACACATCAAAGAAAAGTAGAGTTGGCATTAGAACAAATCCAAAGGCTCTTTAGTTGTTAGAGCTGCTTACAAGGAGACAAGGAAACAAGAAAACCAGACTGTGAGCTTCGATTGAATGCATTTGTTACAGGTCATGTTGTTTCTTCCATTTCATTCTCTCTTTCTACCTCTCACTCTCAGAATAAAGGAGGTCAGTAAAGCAACAGCGAAAGGTCTTCCCATGTTTGTCAAGAATCTTGAGTGGGTATTTTGTGTTGGTGAAGCTTGCACTCTTTAAACACCCCACCACCTTCAAAATCTCCATAAAGAACAGCACTTTGGCAAAAGCAAGGATATCATGGCTAGTGTTCTGGGAGTGTTTAAAGATGACACATTTGTTAGATGCATTTAATATGAGATCCATATAAATCCTGTAATCCATCTTCCAAGCGAAGAAAGCTTGCATGCCTCTGGTCCTCATGCTCTTCCTGGAGGTCTTCCTGACTTCCCACTTCTCCTGAAAACCACATGCAAAGAATGGTGGTGAGACATGGACAACACTGTGGAGGCAATCATTGGACTCAGGTGCACCCATCAACCATCACCAATTTGATTTTGTAGTAATGATCAGGTGTGATAGTGCTTGGTGTTTCCCTAAGGGGACCCACCCAGTTCATGCTGCATGATGATTGATATCTGCATGCAGGGGGGCTAATCATTATCTACTTGTCTGCTCAATCATAACAATGAGATGAGCACAGGTTATGTACGAAGTGTGCACGAACACTGAAGGCCCTCTACATGTGTGCCTTGTCTATGTTTCTTAGTTTCATTTTGGGGCTCAGTGCTCTTTCTAGACTGAGCTTAGTTCTTCATTTCTGTGCAAATTATATGGTTTGACTTATACTTTCAAAGTAGTGGCAAGTTCTAAAGGACATTGATGAGCTAAATCCCCCATCATTTCATCAAAAGAAGAAGGTTGAGCCAAGGAAGGATGGAAGAATGTGGGGGGGTTTAAATGCAAAAATCAACAGAAGTCATTTTTTCCCAACCCTCTTACTTGTGATGAACAGGCTAATGGCAACATTAGTTGAAAACTCTGTGAAATGGCCCATGAATTTGATTTCCTCATGCATGTCATAAATATTAATCCTATTAACCAAGCTAGATAAAACCTCATGGACAAAAATATTTGAAGCTCAAGAACCAAAAATTCAACATTCTATTAAGTCAAGCAGTAGGGAAGGAGATCAACATCAGAGCAAGTATAGCACAACACAAAAGTACCTGTTGTGTATCGGATCAGGTCCATTAGGCACTCTTCTCTTGCTACTATAGAAAGGATCCAGCTTCATGTGGTGTAATGGCCAAGCCATTGGTGAAGGCACAGTAGGAGCAGCCACTGGTGGTGCAATAATTCTTGTTGCTGCACCAGGTTTTGCCATGGAAACCAGGAGACCGATGCAGAACAAGCATGCCAGGCCACCGAACAAGGCCCTCATCTCCTGCTCTTCCTTGGTGACTCCCCCGGATCAAGGCAATGGAGAGGAGCTTGGTTTCTTCCTATTCTTATACTGGGGGTTCTCCTTTTCCTTTTGAATCTTGTACTTAACCTTTGGAGTTTGGGGGCGATTCTCGCTTTTGTAGGACTGTCAAGGCGGAAGAGGAATAAAAGCAAGCAGGTTGCGAACGTGAAGTGTTGATTCGAACTCCCTGGGTTTGGGACCACAGAGGCCCACCCCCCACTGCTGCACTTTGATGTCTACATTCCTTCTCGAAATCGGTTCCTGCGTTCATGACAGTCGTGGCCGCGAAGCAGTGTCTTTCAAGTACAGGATTCCATCAGCACCTCCAAACAAGCACGAGAGATGCGAATCGAAAGGACCGAAGAGTCGCGATCGATCGGAGTCCGCACATTGGAGCTGTCCTGATCCAACAAAACATGTAACGCAAAACAATTAGTTAAGGATGGCCTGTCAGATGACAAAACCCAAGCTGTCCTTGCTGTTCATGTTGCAGAGAGAAGTGATCTGACAAGGAGACAAGCAATCGAGGATGACACCGAAGCAGAAGCTGTTTGGAGGACAGCAGCATTGGCTGACAAAAAGGACGAGGCATTGTTCCAGCTGCAGCAGCAAGTAAACTAAATCGTGATGGCCAATGGGGGAATCTGGAGATATCACTGCCCATATCTGGTGACCAGCAGCCCCTCTCTCTCTCTCTCTCTCTCTGTGCAGGAACTCGGTATGAAGAGACTCTGCAACGCACACAGACTGCTTTGCATGACAGAGCCTGTGCATAGTCCAACCTTGTTGCGTGCTGGTTTCCCTGTCACCAGACCTGGCAACCACCAGACTGCAAGCTTCAGTGGTAATCCAACGGGAAATTTCCATTCCCTCTTCGGTGTTATAGGAATCTTCGTTTTGGACTAGCGACACACCCTGCACGGGT